GGGACGTAAAGGACAGTTTTTGCTCCTTGCCCTCCTAGGTCAACTAAATTCAAGGGGACTACAAGCATCTCTCAAAATGTCCTGTAGCTGTGGTGAGTCACCTGTCCTCTTGAGCAAGGAGGCCGTGGAGACCCCACCAGATGGACCTCAGCCAGTGTCCAGTCTACAAAGAGGAGGGTCAACACAGAGGAAACATTTCCTCCATGCTTCCATGTGAAGCCAGTAATAGTCGAGCAGGACCTTTGACTTATCTTCACATAGGTGGAACTGGTAAAAGAAAGGAGCCAGGGGCTCCTCCCAAGTCCATGTTACCCCTGAGGAACAGATCCTCAAACAACCTTAAGAGTAAAAATAAATTGTTTTATCTGGGCCAACTGTAGGGTCTTAAACACCCAAAAGGAAAGTATAACCAAAGATCGATGGGGTCAATATAACTTTTAAGTCCATATGTATTGCTAAAGGCTACATAACAAGAAACAATGCCAGACAGGAGACGCCTTCCTTTGAGTTATTGGGCAAGGTGGCACAAGAGACTTCCAGATAGTAACCCAGCATAGAACTGGGAAAATGAACAGCAGACCCCAATCTTATCTAAAGGAATATTGACAACTGATTGCTGCTAGATGAGGAACAGCCGATCTTCCTAAAACAAGGCTCTCTAGATAGGCTGACTAGATTCAACAGATGGACAGGCACTGGAGAATGGCTGGGGGGTGTTGACAACACAGTGGACAGTAACAGGGATGACAGAGTATATGGGCTCCAGTATGTGGGAAGGGGGAGACTATGGGAGAGTGCCATTTGGGAAGTGGGTATATAGATGAATGAGATTGGGATGTTCTATATGATATACACACAGAAAATCAACTAATTGAAAAAAAGACTTATATTTGAGGAGGAAGCATAAAATTTTACTTCATGTTAAATAGTATAGGTGATAAACATTACCAGTGAAATCTACTTGATGACTTTATATCCATACTCAAGTACTAAGGATCTGATTGTAACCAACTGTGACTAGTAATCATCAGATACATAGAGATTAAAGACATAAGTGCAAACATCTAAGTGTTAGTAGCATTAAAAATGTAGGAAACAGCATATTTTAAAATGAAATGAAGTTCTTTAAAGGGTAAAAACTCATTCAATTTTATAATTTACATGGTTTATACTGAGTTCAATATTGCATAACTATATTAATTCAACTGTCAATCTAAAAATTTACAGCACCTTTGAAAGAGATGTATCCTTGCTCTGGAGTGTGTTACTGAATATGTTAAAGTTATAATGACATGCTTCTTCTAATCATGTGGTTATTAAATTTAAAAAAATTTAAATAACTTTCAAAGCATAAAAATTTGCTTCCTAATAATTAGTATGTGAAAAATATTACCATTGAACTCTACATGATGACTTTATATCCATTCTCAGATGCCAAGGATCTCAGAAAGTAACCGACTGTGACTAATAATAATCAGATATATAGAGATTAGAAATGCATGTGCAAACATCTTAGTGTTAATTACATTAAAAATGAATTTTCTGTATGAAACTGTGTATTTTAGTAATGAAATGGAGATCTCCTTTAAAGGTTAAAATCTCATTTAATTTTATATCTTTTAGGGTTTATACTGAGTACTATATTGTATAACTGTACTAATTCAACTGTAAACCTAAAAATTTATAGCCAATTTTGGAAGAGATGCATATTAGCTCTGGAAATTGTTATTGAGTATGTCAATACTGTTGTAATGAAATGCTTCTTCTAATTATGTGGTTATTAAGCAAATAATTAAAAAATCTCTTCTTAAATGTTACTTTCTATTTATATCTCATTATTATTCATTAATCATAATTAATTTATTCAGTTATCAGATCTTCTTGACCCCTACACTGTACTAGGTATTGTGGGCGCCATGGTGAAGCAATCACATCAGTTCCTTGATCTTACACCAGGTGAAAGCAGCAACACTCTTTTCTGTGGCAAGTAGACTAGAAGTAGATACTGGTGAGGAGTGTCACCATGTAGAAAGTGTCACCATTCATGGATATCTCTTCCATCTAACACTTAACATGCCCCTAAGCCTTAAATATGATTATTTCAGTGATTAAATAGTGTTGGTACATTGTGCAAAAGTACCCTACCACATATTCACATTCTCTCAAGAGCAAAACAGTTTTCTCATGTAAAAAGAAATAATACTCTAGTTTTTCTCCAGGTTATTGTCAAGAAGTATTCTCAGATTCTGAGCACAGTAAGCCAATATACTTCTGAATAGGTAGGTGTGTTCTTTTTAGTCCTTTCTCTCTGGGTTCAGATATTACCTATTCAAATGTATTATAAAATAATCACTCAAAAATAGTCAAGTTGTTCTAACTCAAGGTCTCTATTCCTTTCTTTAAATTTTCTTCTCTTTCCTCTCCCTACCCTCCCTTCCTCCCTCCCTCCTTTCCTCCATCCCTCCTTCCCTTCCTTCCTTACCAGGAAAAGCCCGATACTTGGGAAGGCACTCCCAGTACTGCTTACCTGACTTTCAGTAGATCACTTGTTTCTTGGTAGGAGCTAAGAGCATATTAATCCTCAGGAGAATATGTAATCACAGTGACTTGTTCAGTTCCACCCTCAAAGGATTCTTACAGGATTTCACTTACCTCCAAAGGCTGGTTGCCTTCTACTTCTGAAGTTTTACTTCTTGTTTCATCCGCTGTTTCTCCTATCATGCAAAAAAGACAAGAGAACGATACTGTTAAGGCCAAACTGTTTTGTTTGTTTGAAATATTTGTGTTAGTCTATGTTTCATACCATGGAAGCAACCACAATTTCCTTTGTTAAAAATCCTGTTTCATATAGGTTTACTCTGGAAAAATAAAATCTTATTTTTTATGTCAAATCATATCTCATTTTATTTTTTGACTTTTAAGATAGGGTTTCCCTGTAGCCACAGCTGGCCTGGAACTCACTATGCAGATCAGGCTGGCCTCTCTCTCACAGATCCACCTGTCTCTGTCTCCCGAATGCTGGGATTAAAAGCACGCACCACCATTCCTGGCAATTCAAATCATATTTTAAATAAATCAAGAAAGCCATGACTTAAAGATAGGCAAACTATTTTAAAACAGAAATTTCCTAATGGTATGACTAACTGTCCTCCAAATTTGTTTTCATAAGGTTTATTCTTCAGGATTTTTTTTTTTTCGTCACTGAAAATTTGCCCTAAAGTAGATGTTTATATTTCTGTGTAATAATGAACCAAATGCCAGACACTCTTTACCGCAGGAAAGAACAATCAACACACAAATAGCTGGCACCCATGTATGTTAAATCACTAAGTTAATTTGGACTAGACTGACTTAAATGATATAGAATAGACATGTTCAGCAAGTAGAAGCATAATAACTTATTAGTGACCTACTTGAATTTATTAATTGTTAATACTTAATGATGAATATATATACACAATTAACCTACTTCTTTGAAGCATAATCAGAGGCTAATTTAGTAATTTGTAAATTGTTCATCCCACAGAATTAAGCCCACTTAAGAATGTACACAACAGTGAAATTATCAAGCTTATGAATGATGGCTTGCCTGAAATCAAAGGTCAGGTATTTTTTAACATAAAGAATGTCAGCAGTACTGACAAGCGATAAAGAATGAAAATTTTGCTGAGCTTAACCTTTCCTTATGAAACACAAAAGTTTAGTTTACCAGTGGCGATAATCAAGAAAAAGCCTCTTGAAAACTGCATAGGAATAAACTGTTAGATTCTAAAAGCATAAAGAATTAAATTTACTTTCAATAATTTAGCTTCCCAAAATGTTTACAACCTAAACTTATCAATGCATATTCAAGTCTTTCAGCTTTGCTTTCAGTTGCATGCAGTATCGCTGTCATTCACTAGGACCCAGCACAAAACAGATGATCAGTAAGCATTAGTTGAATAAATTAGTGAATTTCTCTTTGTTGTGTCAAGCATTTAAAAGTGGTTAATGAAAGCTGTACTTGAGCAGGCAGCAATGTCTCCTAAAACTTATCTGTGAAATTTAAAAGGCAAATTTATGAAGTATCATTTTGACATATTGTTATTTATAACTCATAATGGTGATACTCTTTAAATTTCAAAAAGAGCGATTTTTTCAAAAATCATACAGAAAGAAAATCATCATAAACTTTAGGGTATGTGTGTATATAATGCTTTATTTTTAGGTCAAAAATTAAATCAACTGACTGTTGTGGTCCAGGACTTCAAACTATTCTGACTGGCTTTTTAAAAATATTTTATTATTTTTATTTTATGTGTATGAGTATATTGCCTGCATGTATGTGAGTGCACCCATGTCACGCAGTGCCACGGAGGTCAGAAGAGGGCTTCGGATTCTTCTGGAACTGGAGTTAAGGATGGCTTGTAGCCGCCATGTGGATGCTGGGAATTGAACCCGGGTCTTCTGCAAGAGCAATCAGTGCTCTTAACTGCTGAGCCATCTCTCCAGCCCCCTGACTGGCTTTTTAAGTGGTTGTTTATACTGGTCATCCACTGATGCATCAAAAACAGTCTTCTCCTTAGCAACCCCTTTCTCTCTGGCAGGGATAAAATAATCCACTCCCAATTTACAGGTGGAGACGTCAAAGTACAAGGAATTCAGTCTGTTTGGTTATGGACATGAGACCACTACCAGCATTCGCAGCCAATACAAAGCAAACTTTTGTTACAAGGTCAGGGCTGGGTTAATAATGCACATGTAAACCCAAACAAGGTGTATGAGGAAATATGAGAAACTCACTGAAAAAGTTGCTTACCCTAAGAAGACTTGAAATGAGTACTTTTTTTCACCCACAGTCATACAAACACTACATCCAGCACAAAGTCTACACTTGCTTTGGCATTTTCATGTTTCAAGGTGAGCATACAAAATATTCTCCATTTCTTCCTCCTGTTTGCAAAGGTTATCAGTCAGTGCTCTTGACATCATACAACACATCTGCCTGGAAGCAACACAGAACTAACACTCTACTGAAATGTCATGTCCGGTGATGACTCAGGACAGTCACTGATTACAAGGAAAATTGCGAACCGCAAGATTATTTCTACAAACAAAGGCTCAAAATGAAGTGGAACACGAAGGGGAAAAAGGTTACAAGGAAATATAACTCAAGATTTTTCCCTAACTGAAGAATTAGTTAACCATGGTAAAAGCTCAATTACTTTGTATAATCACTTAGATGTGAGATACTGTTAACAATAAATAAAAATCAATGTGATAAGTACTTTTGTTTTCAGACATCACTTATGCTTACATAGTTCAAAGATCCCAAAAGTTCATTTACAAGCCAGCGATTTAGAAAGAATGAAAAGCCTCTAAGATTTTCACACTATTTCACCTTCTATAAAGGTGTTGGTCAGTGTGGGAAGATCATCACTGTCCTAGTTTATTTCTTCATTGCTGTGACTAAATACTCTGACCAATACCAACTTGGGGAGGAAAGGGTTTATTCGGCTTACATCTCCCAGGTCACAGTTCATCAAGGAGCCCAAGGTAGGAACTCAGGGCAGGAACCTGGAAGCAGGAGCTGGAGCACAGGCCATGGAGGAATGCTGCTTACTGGCTTGCTCCCCTGGCCCATGGTCAACCTGCTTTCTTATACAACATAGGCCCACCTGCCCAGGGGTGACACCACCCACAGTGGGCTGGGCCCTCCCACATCACTCAACAATCAAGAAGGTGCCCCATGGACATGGCCACAGGCCAGTCCAATGAAAGCAATTCCCCACTTGAGCCTCCCTCAACCCACGTGTGTCAAGTTGACACCAAAGCTATCCAGCACAATCACCACCCCTCTGTTTGAAAAGTAAGTGAACTCTAGGGCTCACAGGCACCAAGTGTATCGCAAGCCACATAGAGACAGGTGGAACATTAGTTCTTTAATGAGATCATGCTGCCCAGAATCCCTGCCCCTAGAGAAGTAGCTCAGCTCACCAGGCCACAGTCATGCAGCTTCTCAAGACTGTCAATTCAGAAAAGAATAACCTCTCCTTCTCTGTTTTTTAAGCATGCTTTCCCCACTATCTTGGGTTTCCTTACTCTTTCTCTAAAGCTCCCCTTCTGGCCATGTGGTTGCTAACTTTGTCTAACCTCCATACTGGCTTAAAAAGGCATGACTTTTCTCCTTCTCTCCTCCATTCTACTCTTGGCAGCTTCTGAGATTTACAGCTTGCCTGCCCTGGGGATTTTTCTTTTAAACTCTAATAAGATGTCCTTTAGCTTCTGTTGGAGTTCATTCTTAAATATTTTTAATAATGAGACTAGGAACTCTGATTTCCCCTTTATCTTTATGGATAGAGGCAGCTACATATGGGGGGAAAGAATCCAGCACCAGAGAATGTAGTCTATGAAAGGTTCTGGTGGATGAGGGTTAAGGCAAGAGGAAAGAAGCTTGCTGGTAGAAGGGTGTGAAGAATCAACTGTTCTGAAAGGGAGCTCTGAAGATAGGAACTAGTGTCAGCCCACCCTCCCCGCTTCTCCCCGTCCTTTTTGCTTCCCAAGGCCTCACACATTATTTGTTTTCTTATTTTTCCAATGATGATGCCAAGTACTGACCAGAGCCTCTGTCCTTCCTTCTGGTCTTAAAAGCAAACAAACAGTCCTTGTGTTATTTTTCCATAAGTTTTTAAGACCAGAAACAATTTTACTAGAAGCAAAATTCTTCTTATATTATACCATGTAAGTCTGTTTAAAAATGTAGGTTTTATTTTCAATAATGATAAAGGCTACACATACATAATAATAAAGCATCTTCAGAACTTAAAGGGCTGATGTGAAATTCATCTATAGCTTAAATTAGAGGTTGGCCAATTTCTGTTGTGAAAGGCCAGATAGTAAACACGTTAGGCTTTACAGGCCATATGGTCTCTGTCACAACTTCTTCACAACTCTGTTCAAGAGAAGTTAGAGACATTATGTAAGCTAATACGTGGCTGTTATCCAAAACAATCTAATTTATGAAGACAGGTGGCAGGCTGAAGAGTTTACTAATCCCTGTTTTAGAGGAATATATGCACTCTACCTTTGCTAGGATAAAAAAATTGGAATACATTTGAGTTGTACAAAGAGACGAAAAAGGACAGCCATTACACTACCATCCCAACCTCATTCTACTGTGGAAAGATGGGAGAGAGGTGACATGGTGTTGGATGAGCAGTAGGCAAACAGGAAGGCAGAAAGGGGAAGAATTCCAAAGCTTGGGAAGGAGTCCAAACACCTCCTTGGTTCATCCAGAGGAAGTCTGTACAGAGGTGTTGGTGGTAGGGAGATAAGGGAACAGACCTTTGATTTGCACTCTTTATGCTCCATTACCAGTCATTCCTTGCCAAGCCTCTCTGGATTGGTGAGTTCTGGAGGACTTACTTGTATATGGTTCTACCCTTTCTTCAACTTTCTGTTGAACGTTTTGCTCAGATCTACAGGGGCCTTTCCCTACTAGGGAAAACTGCACCAACCCCAGTATACCTTGCAACTAGATGGAACTTGGTCTAATTCTGGGGTTCTGCTTGATTGTGATTTAAACCATATTCTTCAACACAAGCTTTCTAGGCAATAAAGGACTTGGTTTCCATCTGTTCCTGTTTTTCTCTCAATTGGTCACATCCCATCTGGGAAGAGGACTTTTATTACTAGCATGCCCTTGGGTCCCAAAGGACCAGGAATGGACTAATGT